TCCTCTAAAATAGTCTCTAATGAAATCTATGTTGTTTAGAATATAATTATGATCATTCGTGATAGCTCAATTTTGGTATTTTCGTAAGGTGGATAAGGGTTTTGACTTGGTATCTTGTTATACATATTCTTCATATCGTTAATAAGAATAAGAAAAGATACTGTACTTTTCAGTATAACTATGGTAAAGACACCTACTTCGACAATTACAGTGGGGATCAAGAAAGAAAAGTGGTGGAAAATTTAAAGGATTTAAGAAATGGTGTCTCTAAAGATGAGTATGTAGCTTGAGCTAATTTACATTTCTTTTATGAAATTGAACCCCCCAAAAAGGTGCGAATCAGGTTTCAGCAAATACAGGCTACTTAGATGAAGATAAATTATAAAATTGATATAAAAGTGAATAATTCATTGAAATTTGTAAACACTTGAATTTCAGTTGGTCACTGAATGCTGCCACAGTTAATGCCTTTTACAGTCCACAGAAAAATCAAATAAGTAAGCGCTTCATTCATTAGGCCATATTATTTTAGATATTACTTTTATTCCATCAACCTTCTATATTTTCTTGCCCAAGACATAGGAAAACCGGTATGTTGCATGTGATTCTGCATTCAAATTACTTTTCTATAGGAACTATAACAGATGCAAATAGTAACGTATAATTTGATATCTGTTCTTGGTCATATTTCTTTAAATTATGGTCACAATACAAATCAAATGTCTGTTTTGTGTCTTCGACCCTTGACTCACTGGTAAACGTTGTCGATTTGTGTAATTTAATCGCAGTCAATTTGTCGTTTAGCTGATCCATTTTAAATTCATTTCATCTTAAATCTCTGTCTGTTTATAGTGTTTCCAGCAGGTATACTTCAGCCACCTTTCTTCAATAAAGACTATCCCAAGTAAGTTATGACAATCTTTTTGTATCATAATGTGGTTTAAATGGACATGCATTAGAATAGACTGACTACAACCCGTATTGAAAATATATTAGTATAATGCATCATAATAATGCGCTTATTCTCTTATAATTTTATAGAATGATCCTTAGAATGTTGATAAAATGGCATAATAATATCTCTGAAATGTTTAAAATTACTGAATGGAATTGAAAAGATGTTATACGTCGTAAATATTAGTATGATATAAGTCATGGAAGGGATTGTAAGAGGTATCCGGGACATAGATAACAATGATGACATCAATTTACATTCCAATTTTCTATCAGACACCTGTGTTTCCTGTAATTCCATAAAAGATGAGTTTTTGATGACGTCACTAATCGCAATGAACCACACACTTCTGATAGAAATTGGAAAGGTGAAAATTGATGCTATCACTGTCCCCGATGCACATAAGAAATTTAGAAAACCCCTTTACAATTCCTTTTTGGGTTGTACTAATGTGCTTTCTATGAAAGGGCGTTGAATTATGGTGGCATAGGTGTAGTAATTGGTCACGAGATCACACACGGCTTTGATGATTCAGGTATGTAGAAAGTTTAAAAACTATCAATGCTCCATCTCAAGACAACAATTTGTAGAAAGTGTCTTATCGATTTGTTTCATCGCTGTGTATATGATTAAAATGTGCTGAAAATTGTGTATCATTGCTTCATTCCACAATCCACCGACATACCATTAAAATACAGTGTAGCATGATGTCTATATAATAATATTTTAGGTAGACAATATGATAAGGATGGTAATCTGTTACAATGGTGGAGTGATGATGCTATTGACCAGTTTAAAGCTAAGGCTCAATGTATTATAGACCAATATTCCACTTATATATTACCGGAAGCAAACATGAATGTAAGTGATTCATTTTTTATCGGTTGTTTTGTATAGATGAGCCTGAACATATTTTGTCGCTCTTGACATTATCAAAATTTTACACGAAATTGAGAAGTTTTGACAGCGTTGTAAACTAATTTTAAATCGATAATAGTTTTGTTAGTTAAAAAGTTAAAAGTTATCACGATCTTTCATACACTTTAGGCACGTTGAATAGCCTTTAGTCAAATACAAAATCCTAAGCAAATTGGCAATAAACGCGAATCTCTTAGAGTTATTGTTCCAGTTGTTTCAGACCGAAATACTTAACAATTAGCACTTTATTACTCTCAGAAGAAAACTTGAAATTAACTACATTCCATTATTAGGTAAATGGTATCAATACACAAGGTGAGAACATAGCCGATAATGGTGGTTTAAAACAAAGTTATAGAGTAAGCAATATGCATTCTACACCTCTATATTTGGACTATTCAATTGCATGTACTAGTGCAGTAAAACTGTTTTGTATCTTATGAGTGATGTATGCATCAAAATTCTTGGTTCATGGTTCACACCTACAGTCTACGATAAAACTGATTGTATTTACTAACTATATTTAACTATACGTCTATTTCAATATATAATATTACAAAAAGATGTAATCTTGCAGGCTTATAAGAATGTTATAGCTAAAGAAGGGGAAGAAGCAAGACTGCCTGGTTTGAAATATAATAATAATCAGCTATTCTTTATAAATTTTGGCCAGGTAAATTGACATAATTATAACTCATACTAATTACATCAAATCGTTACAACACCGATTATCCTTGAAAAAAATCCGATATGCCAAAGGTCAGTAATATACTCACTCATTGTGTGAAAGATAGCTTGCCAGGCAAGGTAACATTCGGCCACTATCAGCTGTCAGAAATGACAACAAAGTCTTTAGTGGCTCCTTAATGAAAACAGTTCATCAAATTATCATCAACAAGGTCTCATCGACTCGTCTTAAACTGTTCATCCTATTGTTACCAATTTCGAACTCGACTGAGATCTCATCGATATATATACATTCATACCAAGTTTCATCAAGATCAGATAAAAGCTGTAGCCTACAAGCCAAATTTGACGAGTTTTTATTAGGTCAAAGGCAATAAGTATATAAAACCGTTCATCCGGTTATTACCAATTTCGACTTGACCGACATCTCATCAATTTAAACACGCACATCTAATTCCGTCAAGATCGGATAAAAGGGCGAGTCAAGTGCAATAATTCCAAAACCGTTCTTTCGTAAATTACCAAATCGAACTTGACTCAGATCTCATCAATATATACATGCATACCAAGTTTTATCAAGATCGGATAAAAAGTGTAGTCTCTATCGCGGCCACAAGTCAATTTTGACGCGTGTTTACTAAGTCAAGGGTAATAACCCCAAAACCATTCTTTCGACAATTACAAAGATAGAACTTGACTGAGATCTTATCAGTAGGCTATATACATGCATATCAAGTTTCATCAAGATCGGATAAAAACTGTAGCCTCTATTGTGGCTACATGAATGTGTCCGA